TCCAATTTCGGCCAACGCTAAGACGAGCTGCAAATGCCAACGCTCGCTTCGGACTGCCACTGATTTTCATCCAACGCCCGGCAAAGCAGGGACTGCCGCACTACGCATCCCCTTTAACAGTTCAAACCGCTTGCCCGCGCACGAGCGCCCCGCAAGCTTCCCGCAAGTTCCCCGCAAGCCCCGCCGCAAGCTCCGCCGCAAGCCCTCCGCAAGCTTCTTGCAAGCCCCTGCAAGCTCCCCGCAAGTTTTCTGCAAGCTCACCGCAAGCCCCCTGCAAGCCCTCCGCCTCTCTCCGTCCGACCATGCCGCATTGGACACGCCAAGAATTCTCGCCCAGATTTGACGCGTCAAAAACGTCAAAAGTGTCAAAACTGCATTTTAGAGCGCCCTGAGCACTTAGAATTGCATTTTAGCGTTTGACACTTTTAATTTGTGGCTCGATTCACTTTGTAAGCAGAAATGGACACCTGGCAGGCTCTTCTTTTGCTCTTCGAGTCTAGCCGTGCGCTCGGCTATGGCAAGGCGAACACGCTCAGTCGAATCGACACTTTCGAGCCTATGTTTAAAATCTAGGGCGATGGTGCTTGACTCAAACCAGAGTCGACGAATTGGCACAAGCTCTGAGACCGTGGGGTCCCGGCACATGATGGTCTTAAGCGCGGTTATCAGTGGGTTTTCATCAGCTTGCCCCACCTGGTATGGGGACACAAACGCTAGGTCGCCGAATGACTTGACGCCGCCCTTGATCAGGAGGTCCAACACCGCCTGAATCATTCCCACCTCCAGGGCACGGCTCTGAAACGCAGCATGGCTGTCCAGCGTGCTACTCATGGCAACTATGTAGAAGGGACCTAGGCCCGAGCCACTAACTCTTGCAGGTTCAGCGAAGATGTTTCTCGCTCAACGACTCAGCACATACATGCAGAGTTATGGCCAACGCCCCCGCTCTTCAGGCCAACGCCCCCCCATGTAAACGCGGGGACGTCTGCCCACATGATTCTTTGAGCACTTATGGATCACAGCGCCAACGGAACATCTGCACGTCCGAGGCCAACGCCCATTGAAAAGCTTGGGTCTGCCGCGTCACACTTCAAAACTTATTATATGTGCTCGGGAACACACAATCATCATGGAGTATGGCGCCAACGGAACATCTGCACTCCTCAGGCCAACGCCCATTGAAAAGTGGGTCTGCCTGCCCCGACACTTCACCACAGATTTCGAGTACCCGTTAGGAACACAAGGAACAGACGACGGGGCTTCTCCCGCTTCAGGGGACTTTCCAATTTCGGCCAACGCTAAGACGCCCGCGCATGAGCGCAGCAAAAAGCTCTAACTTTTTTTGTCCGGAATGCTCAGGGCGCTGGCTCGGCTGCATTGAACACAGACCAGGAGATCACACAACGGGACATTGGGGCCCACCGGCTCGTAGTTTCCTGTGACGGCTACACAAGAAACGGTTGGCATCCTTCAAAATGTGAACCACACTGGAACGCGAGTGCATCTTGCAATCCTGCAGCGCTTTTACCTCAGCAGCAGTCCTGGGGCCCGTGACCAGAGTGACCACCTGTGCATCAGCTTTGAAATCCTCCTCTTCCAAGTCGTCCGCCTCGCCATCCGACTCTTGGCTCCGTCCACCGCACTCTCCCAAGGGTGTCAGGACGACCCCCCGAGGAATGTCTGAAACCAAACCATGGACTATGGTGGCCATAACGAGTTTGCTCGTCACGAGCGTATGTCCAGGGCGAAGCAACTCCTGGATCAACACGATGGCCCAGCAACCTCCTGTCTGAGAAAGTAACCGTGGTGCTCTTGGCAGCCCAACTCAAGACAATGCGTTTGAGGCTGTGACATCCACAGCCCTCCAAATCCCTAAGGCCCGCAGCATAAAGGAACTCCTTCATATAAAGAGAGGCCTCACCTGCCTCATGGCCCTGGGCAGCCACTTGTTCGCTCTCACTCCAGGCTGGGAGCGCAGGCTCTAGAGACAGACCCATGCTTGGCACGCATGTCGAACTACACTGGTAAGCCTCATCGGCAAGAATTGGCCCAACGAATACAGAGGCAGCAGCTGGGCTCGACGCGAGCATTTCCGATCTTCCATTTCCTGGACTCGGCTTCGATCAAAGTGACACCCTGCGCTGCGCGGAGGTGAAAGCTAGCTTGGCCAACACCTGGGTATCTCCGAATCGAGAGCTGGATCCCAAGCACATGAGCAAATGCCCCCATAATGATCCAGTCGAAGCCCGCCTTCAAAAATCGTTCCAAGACGTCTTTATCTCCAGAGCGATTACGCTGACTAAACGTGCGGACCAATTGCGGCGCTTCGCCGCCTGGTGTGTGGGCGGAGGACATGGTAACCTTCTAGAAGCCGTTGAGTCCATCTTGTATAGCTGCATGCTGCATCTGGAGGAGAACGCTAAGCCCAGTTCTCCATCTGCATTTCTCCAAACGCCGGGTTTGCAGACGGTGACAACTACATGTGCGATTTCTCTGCAAAGGGCCGTGGGATATGCTGACTCAGCAGAAGTTGCAAAGCCATTTGATGCAGACGCTGAATGCCCCCATACAAGATGCGTAGCCCGGCAAGCGGTACCTGGACAAGCACGATTGATGGAAGCAAAAGTGCCAACGCAGTCCATTTATCTCTGCGTGACCCATAGGCACAGTTTTGAAAGGCGGTGAAGCTGAAACGGTGTTTGATTTTCATAAAAGCACTGGTACGCCAGTGTAAGAATCTACGTGGGTTCTCTATAACCATAACTAAACCCCTAGAGGCGGCAATAAGGGCAAGGTCCGAAATTGCACGGTACGAGGCGTTGGCTTTCTGAACTCGAATTTGGTCACCCGGTGAAAGATTGGCGAGTCCGTCGGGTTGTTCTTCGGACCTCAGTGGCGGCGGGCCTGCGACCGAAGCTATCTTCCGAGCCCTGCTTGCCGTTCCACAGACAGGAGCTACGAAGAACCCCACACATCGGAGAACTCTCTCATTACAGAGGTCCCGCGCCCCCCCTGAACGCAGTCCAGAGCCAGCAGAAATGAAAGTGCGCAGCAGCCCATCTTAAAAAAAGGACAACCGAGGCTTGCAGAAATGCAGCTTCGAGGCCGTGGGACCGCAAACTTGCATCTGGCAAAATCGCAATTCTGTGCACTTTTGGGTACTCGCAAAAGGTTTCGCACAACAGAAGCGCAAGCTCAGAAGGTGCGTTCTTGATGCAACTCTAAAGTTCGTATTCAGAGGCTCTCGTTGCGAGAGACAAAGTTGACGAGGTTGATTCATTTTTCATTCAGAATGACAGCTTCAATGGTGTTCTAAATTTACAACACCTCGAAAAATGAAATAATGGACATCCGTCATCTAATTTTGCCAGACGCAAGTTTGCGGTCCCACAGCCTTGGGGCTGCATTCCTGCAAGCCTCGGTTGTCCTTTTTTAAAAATGGGATGCTGCGCACTTTCATTCCTGCTGGCTCTGGACTGCGTTCAGGGGGGGGCGCGGGACCTCTGTAATAGCAGCGGAGCAGCAGCAGGGGCATCGAAGGTACATCAAGCAGAGCGGCAACAAAAAAGATGGGCATCACAAGCACGCGCGTGCGGAACATGTTTGCTACGCACACACTCACACTGACAACAAGCCATGCAATGCTGCAGCAACAAAAGAGGCTTCTCTGGAAAAACGCTACGCTGAGTCCACATGCAAGATTCCCAGTTTTTTCTGCTGCGATACTGCGGCAGTGCTGCATGAGTCGGCCACAAAACGTTCACCACGACAGCCAAGGAGCCTCAGACAAGCATCAAGTAGTTAGACCTCTAACTTGCCCAGCACGTGCTGTTGCCGGCCTCGCACTGGCCCGGCATCCGCTGAATCTCGGGACCTAATGGGCGCAAGGCAAGATTTACAGAGACTTGGGGGGGCCGAAAATTTGCTCCCCCCCCCCCTCAGGCTTATGTTTCGGCACTCCGGATGAGGTGTCGCATGAGTGCAGACGAACCTCGGCTCCCCGCCAGCACCGCATCAAGGACCAGCCCAGAGCCTGCGGCACCGCACGCATTGTGGCCAGCTTTGCATCACGCAAAAAAACGGGTCTCAACGCAGCATGATCCACTTCCCCAGACCTCCGGCTTCAGATACAGCTCCCAACTGGCGGCGATGTCAAGGATGGGGACCTGAGCGGGGCTGGGAAGCTAAGGATCAGGGCACCTACAATAACTATGGTACTGCTACCTTAGCGCGACTACCAGACTCAGTGAACCCCGCAGCCCTGAAGCAAGACACAGCACTCTCACAAGCACGACTGCACATACACAGCTTGCGTCACGGAAGGCTCTGAGGTTGCAGACTCGCGAGGACGAGGACGAAGGAACCTGAGCAGGCAGGGGCTGGGCTGGGGTTGAGGCCTGGGGGGGCTGGGGAGCTGCTACTGCTGCGGGGCACGCTACACTGCAGGAACGGCTACTGTTTCAGAGACTGAGGCTGTGTAGCGGTATGTAAGCGCCTGGGACCGCATCTTCTATCCGATGCGCTGCTCTATACATGCAGGAACGGCGCGCGCAGAAGAGCGCTATAAACCGGCAACTCCCATACAGAGCTGCGGTGCATGCAACATAAAAGAGGCTCGGAGAGGCGTAGCAGCACCGTGGCGCTGCCAGCTTCCAGCTTCGAAAACCAAAACAACGCTCGTATGCAACCAAGCGTGTCACGGACTAGCAGGCTGTCACTTGTCCGGTCTGTACGGAACACCAACTCTCCCCAGCGACGCTGAGGCCTGTACTTGAATTCAAAACAAATCTGCACGTAAATCAGCCCTGCGAGCGCTCAGGCTTGAGCTTCCACGCTCCATGTGATGAGATGACGATCCTCTGGGCGCCTCGGTGGGATGTGTAGCCGGCCCTCCGCGCCTCCAGCTTCGCCACCCGCGAGCTCACCCCCAAGAAGACAGCAAGCTTGGCAATGAACTCTGTGTACTTGGAGCCCTCTCCGTGCGAGGTGACCTTGACGCAGTGAAGCTCTACGAATCTCTCCACGCTCGGGGCCTCCTCGAACGCCGAGTCGCCCACGCAGAACTCCCGCTCGAGCTCCTCCACACCAGGCGGCTTCGGTCGGATCTGAGAGCCTGGATTCAAGCTGGGCTGCAAGGCTGGCCGTTGCGCGTGCCCGAAGCGATCTTGCCCTTAACCTGGTCGTCGCACTTCTTCTGCGTGAGCAGCTGTGGACGAGAGACAAACTCGGTGAGCGTCTGCCATGGCCGCACTCTCCTGTGCACTCCAGTGTCCCTGCTCTGGGAACTCAGGCAAGGAGGGTGATTTGAGGTGATGATGACCGTGGCTGCAGGACGGAAGTCAAGCGGGGCCTGCCGAAGTTTTCGCCTTCGCAGAACGGCTTGAGGAACTCGCCATTGAGGTCCTTGTGTTCCGGCACTTCGCTCAGCCACAAGTATCTCTTGCCGGGCAGCCTTCCCATCAGGGGAGTGGCTGCCTCCCCGTCTCTGCGATGCGTGAAGCCACCTGGTGCCATGACGCCGTAGTGAATGTCCGAGAACCCGAAGAAGCTCATGAAGAGGAGGCCTATGACATCTTTCCCGGCGTTCCCGAGACCATACATGTACAACAGCTCGCAGTAGCGAGGATCTGCGGTGACTGCCCTGGTGAACGTCCTGAGCAGATACAAAACAAGCTCCCACTCACCGAACTGTCGCAAGACCTGCAGGACCTCGCATTCTTTGACCAGGGCGTCGAAGCACTTCTGCACACGCAGCCCCTCCTTGCAGCTGCCCATCTCCTGCTTGCCGGTGCGCAAGAAAGTCCGCGATGTAGTCGAAGAGGAGCGTGGGCGTCTGGGGCTCCCATGCCTTCGAATCAGCAGCGGCGCGTAGCTTCATCCTGTCGCTCGGAAGGGCCCGCCTCCTCTCTCCAGTCTGGAGGTCGACGATGTAGCCGTCCGCAAAGACCATCTTGCCGCGGCAGGCATCCCCATCTAGCTGCGGCAGGGGTGTGCTGCGGGCCAGTCGTCCGGCGACTGCTGGGGCAGGAATTTGCTGTCGTTGAGCGGCTTGGGTGGGGTTCGTCGTTCGCTCCAGATAGGGGCGTAGAGCTGCTTCCCGATCTGCTCGATGAGGGTCGCCAGGTCTTCGCGGCCGCGAACCAAAACCCGTTGTCCAGGACACGGGCGTCGTCGTGGTCCACGTTGACGATGTCTCTGAGGAACTCGGCAGCGTAGTCCGCGAAGTCCGAGGCGTTCTTGCGCACCGTGCCTGGGATCTGGAGCGGCATATGTCGGCAAACTCGGCAAATTCCGTCCATGGCGTCCGGGCTCGCAGAGTCCAGTCGTAGCCAGGGTACTCTGCGTTGGCAAACACCCACGAATCCTCCGGCTCCTTCACGGCGAGCTGCAGGGGTGCTGCGGCCTCCACAACCTTGGAAGCGCTCGAGCGCAACACGTCCACCCCATCGTGGGCGGGGCAAACCAAATCCTCCGCAGCAGCACAGCGGAGAATGTTCAGAACAGCCTTTCAAGGTGTGCGTAGTACGAAAAGCAGACAGACGCCAGGGAGCGCTTCTTCTTCAGGTGTCACTGCTTCTGCTCGAGAGGCGGCGCCAGCAGGCGCAGTGAAGCTGCACATCCATGTTCGAGCTCCTCCAGAAAGTCGATTACCTCATCCAGGCCGCTGTTGATTCCTTTCCTGGCAAGGTCACACCCAGTCCTTGAGCACTAATGAAGAGCTGCTTGCACTCCCGCCGCGGGGCTTTGAGTTCTTTGCCAACCTTCGCAAGAAGGTCCTCACGGTGTTGCAAGTACTGGGAAATGCACTCGGGGGTTTCGGAAGCCTTTGCCGCACTAGCTTCAGCAGGAGCCCCCCCTGCAGCACTACTCCATGAATAGCTCCAGCAGGCGCCTCCTCTGCAACACTGGCCCATGAGGAGCCTCCTCTGCAGCTGGCTCCAGCAGCCACAAACAAGTGGACGGCAACAGGTGCCAGTACCGCCAGACGAATGGAACTTACTGGGACCGCAGCTTCTCCAACGGCAGCCACCGCTCTGCCACCCCCTGGAACTTTGTGATGGCTGCGGAGTATCGCGCCGTGGCCAGGATCAGCAATTGGGCGAGTGCCCACACAGTACTTCAAGTTTATCAAGACAGACTGCCTCGCAAAGTACCGGCCCGCAGTGGAGGAGCGGCTGACGCAGAGACGGCTCCGACGGCACCGCAGTGTACCGGTGCAAGTTGGTGGACCAGCTGCTGGAAGAGCACCGGAAGTTCGAGATGGCGGCAGGCGCCGATGCCTTGCGGCAGAAGAGCGAGTGGGACCCATTGCTTAAGGGGGGACGGGCTTGCTGTTCACCGTTGTTCGAACCCGGAAGACGTGGCCAGAGGCACACAGTGTCGCAGCTGCGGAAGGTCGACGATTGCACTTCTTCGAGAAGTGCATGGGCGAGAGCACTTGCAGGCGACGTCAAGGACCTTCTCCGATGTCGAGCTAAGTCACTTTCTTTCTTTATCACAAGCCAATCCAGTTCTGCAGCGCCCGTTGGGACAGGTGAGCGAGACCACTGCAGTAAGCGCACTGAAAGGCCCTAGCCAACGCGAAGCAAGCGAATTGGACGCAAGACCTGAGAGAGATTTAGGGCCCTGCCTGGAAAGTTTGAAGCGGGTTTAGGATCCACAGCAGAGTCTTTGCAAGCGCTGCACCTCTTTCCTAAACTGTAGATGTGTTTGAAGATGTCGAAGATGGCAAGAACGAACACAAGAACCTGCAGGAACCTGAGGTGGGGGGAGCTGCTGCAGCCCAAAAGATGCTGTTTTTCGTAAACCTGAAACCCAGAACCCCAAACACTAAACGGGTGGGTGGGGAGGCTGGAAGGTGTTGACGATCAGCTCCATTGGGTGGGCGGAGCAGAAGGCAGGAAGGCGTTGACGATCAGCCTGGAAGCCGGGAGGGCGGAGCGGGAGGCAGGAAGGCGTTGATGATCAGCTCCGTAGAGTCGGATGCGCCGAGCGGCGGGCGGGGCGAGAGGCAGGAAGGCGTTGACGATCAGCTCCGGAAACCGGAGCAACCACCAACAGCCCCCAGACACGAACGTTCCACCACTAGAACAAACAGTCCGGAGATTGACGCTTTCCGCTTGTTCATGTGGTGACGCTCGTGGAGAGCCGGCCAAGAGCATTTTTGCGCAGGTGGCCACGGTGTGGACGGAGGCCGTCTCGCACGCCGAACTGCTACAGACGCAGACGGCTGGGCCACGCGATCACCCACGCCTCTCCTGCCAGCGGCTCACTTTGAGGGGCCGCGTCTGGCTTCTGGCGCAGCATTTCAACCTGCGGCACCTCTACGTGGAGGCCTGCAACCAGCTGGCGGTCCCTCCCGGAAACTCCGGCCCTTGACAGGATGCGGTCTTCTGCTCGAATCCCCAAGTGCTAATTGTACGTGTCAAACGTATCTTCTGCAGGTCCTTACAGTCTCTGCACCTCTTATGGCTGCCGCACGTCCCTCCGGCCCCTCGTCTCGTTGCTCAGGTTCTTACCGACATACCGCGGGTGCTCTGCAAGGGCACGACCGCAGTATGTCAGAGACGCTGCTCGAGATGTGGTGCTGTCGAGCCGTCTGGAGGTACGAGTGGCCTACCAATACAGTCAGGTAGTGCTTCTACGCAATGATGAAGCTTATCCGAGGGTCGGGCGTCTCGGCTCCACAGAAAGTTCTGCCCCACGTTGCCACATCCAAATCCAGCATGTAGAGGCAGGCCGGCTTGCGTATCATCCCTCCCCATGCTTCGCAGTCGCACGTAAGTGAGATCCGCTATGGCTTTGCCTCGCCTCCGTGACAGAACACCGGAAGCGGGAAGCATTGCCCAGCCCGTTCTTACGGCCTTGTACGCTCTGCGGCTGAAGCAGTTTGGTGGCGTGGAAGTTCTCCAAAGCAGTCTTGGTGCGGTGGCACTCCAGGCAGAGGGCCTGCAGCACACCTCATACTCTATACTGCCCCCTACGCTTTACAACAATTCCGAAACAAAGCAACCTACCAACCCCAAACAACAA